ACACATAATATTGCCCCTTTAATACAGCTGGTACAACAAATTTTATAAAATATATACTGTACGTTTTTTAATTTAGTGTCAATAATTAGCCCTTCATGTCACAGAAAGACCACTTGATTTTAAGAAAATGGCTGTTTATCAATTAATCGTTAGTCGATCGATATCCCTACAACTAATGTCAATTAAACTGAATATTAAAGCACTCTTAACGGGTTGTCATGTTTGTCTGAAGGCCCTAAACAGCCTCTTGTTTCACTTATGCCTTGGATTGACTGAGGAAAACATCTGTCAGTCAAAGGCAACCATCAAACCCCTGCTGGAAGAGGAAAGACAGTCAGATCCTCAAAGATGGACAGACACAGATCGACCATAATAAAAGTAGAGAAGAACCTTAAAGGCCCAGGAATTGAAAGTGGCGGCGAGTGACCGAAGTTTGGCAGCCAATCGGTTCATTCACCTCTTCAGCCCAAACCCCTGGTTTTCTACTTTAATTACTTTAAGTTATTTTAGTTAAACATAGACATGTTTATCTGCAGAAACATCAGAATCTTGGCTAGACGCTGGTAAAAACCATTATATGAACATCTAAGACAGTTAAAACTACAAGCAGTTGAAGATAAATGAAAGTGAAAATAAAATTGGTTTAAAAAGTTGGCAAGTCGAATATTTGTGGTAAATAAGAGACATATTGTGTTCATTTTTATATATTGTTTTATTATTGCTACTTTTATTATAAGGTTCTGTATGCGGTATTCATGGTTAAAYGCAATGAAATAAACTATTTCAAAGGTAACAGATCTTTGTAATCTTGGTTTATTTRCATAATAACTTTAAATGTTGGATATTCGGCCCCTCAGCTGTTGGTCTGCAGTAAATGTGGCCCCCAGAGGAATTCCTGCTCTATGAGCTGTGAAAGTGAATATTTCGTAAAAAATAAATAAWAGTGCAGATGGAATAATCTGACAGGCACTTTATCACATTATCAGGGTTGCTTCTCTCCAAAAACACGCAGTGACGTTTTGCACATTAATACATCAAGTTTGAGTCAAAGAACCCATTCACCCCCCCCCCCCCCCCCCCCCCAGGTGAGAGGTTTCCACAGGACATCCAGAATAAATCAGCTTAGATTAATGATGCTGCCTTTAAACCAAACCCACCTGAGCGACAGAATTATAGGATGTTCTCAGACATGATCTGTGTGCTGGACTGATGTCTGCAGGGTCGGGTCACGGCAGTGGGGGAGGGGTGACGTCCCTTTGAGTTAAATGAGTCCTCCACACCTGATCTGATGGAGAAAACTGTAATCACAGGGAGGGTCTGCGGTGGGCTCCGGGTCTGGGGCCCGTCACTCATTCACTCACTGAGGTTCTGACTCAAAGAGCCGCAGGTTGTAGATGAAACTCTTTCTGACGTTTTCTCATTTTTCAGCTTTGACTGACGTCTTCGCTCGTTTTCTCAGAGAGAGAGACCTGCTGTTAGGTTTGTGACAGCAATAAAACACTTTTTTAACAAAACTGTATCTAATCAACCATATCAGCAACTAACAAGGTCCACCAGCTTTCATGAGAAGAACTTCAGCTTTGGTCCAGAACGGATCACTTAATCAGTTTGTCTGTAAAAATTCAGAGTTTTGCAGAAGAACCTGAGGCTCAAAAACCAGATAGACTAGACCAGGGGTCTCCAACCAGTGAGCTCGTTTAAAGTAGCTCTTAGCTCTTATGAAAAGTCAGGAGAAGAAAACTTTAATTTGTCCCTGACCAAACAAACTTTGGTTTATTCCAATCAATCTGATGTCCCTCCCCCTTGGTTGTCAATCAAACAGTTTGGGCTCTCAGTAGGGTCGATCTGGATCAGGATCGACCCTACTGAGAGCCCAAACTGTTTGATTGACAACCAAGGGGGAGGGTCGATCGGCAGATGACGCACAGTTACGTGGTTGTTCAGCGTTCGTTTTCACGCACACCTTTCATAGCCCCTTGAGACACACTGTGCCGAGCACCCGGGGTTTCTTCCAGCTGGAGTCTACAATGCGGGAAAAAACAAAATCGGACCTGTCACCTGACGTTACTTGTGCACAAATCTGTCCCAGTTAAACCCTAAGTTATTAGTGTGAAATACACTGTAACATGAATGGATAAACACAAAAAGCACATTCATGTAAATTCAGTGTTTGTGGTGGTTTCATGTGAATTGAAGACGTTTTTTTTTTTGAAAAATAAGCTTAATCCAATCGTTAAAGTTTAGAATTAAATGTCGCAAAAAGAAGCTCTCGGACAATTTCATTTTGTGGAAGTAGCTCTTAAAAGAAAAAAGCATTAGCACGGGGCTATTCAACTACCGATTTGGCCCACGAGTGACCAAAGTTCGGCCCGCCAATTGGTTCATTCATCTCTTAAGCCCAAACCCCCGATTTTCTACTTTAATTCCTCTAAGTTCCTTTAACTAGACATGGACATGTTTGGTATCTACAGAAACAACAGAATCTTGGCTAGAAGCTGGTGAAAACTATTTCCATGCACAGTCAAGACAGTTAAAACTACAAGCAGTTGAAGATAGAACTTTGAAAGTGAAAATAAAATTGGTTAAAATTTTGGTAAGTCAGAGATGTTAAAATAATATTTTTGTCCAATAGGAGGCATAATGTGTTCTTTTTGTTTTTGATATTGTTGAATTATCACTACTTTTATAGGTTTCTGTATGTTGTATTCATGATTAAATGCAGCAAAATAAACTATTTCAAAGGTAACAGATCTTTGTACTACTTGGTTTATTTACATAATAACTTTAATTGCTGGATGTTCGGCCCCTCAGCTGTTGATCTGCAGTAACTGTGGCCCCCAGAGCAGCTTAGTTGATTAGCCCTGCGTTAGCATGTATGACCCATGCATGTACACAAAGCACCAATGCACCAGAACTTACAAGAGCAGATTTACTGTTTTGAGTGGGGGTCCGGGGGGTGGGGGATGGGGTGGCTCATTAGTGGGCCCGATGGATGGCCCTTCGTCAGAGCTAAACAACCCAAAAATCTGAAGCTCCAATGTTTAATGGTTTTTGAGTTAGAAGCGTTTTGTACGTCCAGATCCCATTTTCAGATGGAGCCCCCTCCTCAAATATGGGGTCTATCATAAAACTGTTGGTGCAGTGTAGGTCAGACACATCTACAATAAACAGTTTGAAAACAATACAACCCCCGCATGGGTCATTTCATCAGCMATTAAAGGACAGGTGACTGTGTAATTATGTGTCTGTTTAGACTGCATGTCTGTTAGCAAAATATCCTCTGAACTTATAAGCCTCTGCACAGATTTGGATGAAATGAATGTAGGTCTACAACTAATCAGCAAGAAAAAAAAAAACCTGATTCAAGATGGCTGCCGCAGCTCTCAGACATTGGCCAACACTAAAACACTCTAACAGATACTGAACTCTGCTGGTGCCTTGAGTGACGAGAGGTCAGACCCAATCTGGCAGCTGGCAGATAATCTCACTTTGTGCTCTCCTGTCACACATTTGTGGCACTTTTACTTTTATGACCGTGAAATTCATCCATCACAGCAGAACAAGTCCAAAGAAAAAAGAAAAAAAGAAAAAAAGGGAAGGTTTACTGAACAAGCATGCACTGACATGTGCTTTTTACCTTTTTCATTCAAGAGTCACATTTAAAGTTGGAACTTGTACAAAACTCATATTCTTTGTATTTCCTCAAAGTAAAAACCATAAAAATGTTCAAAACTTTAATTAAAAAGCATTATTCTAAAGTCTGAGAAAAGAAACAGTGAGTTAAATAACAGCACGTTTGAGTTATAATGATAAAATTAAAGTTGTGATACCACAGTAAACATTCCAGCGTGGTGTTCAGTATTACTCTAATACTAAATACTGCTATTTTCCTGCTGTGTGAAATGGAGTGGAGCATAAAACCTACCTGAGGTCCAGTTAGGTGACTCTTCCAGTAATTGTTTCCTTCCTCCAGCCAACAGTTTAGGAACTTAAGGGATCCTCTGATGACGTGGAGACAAATCCACAAACATCCTGTTGATTTTCTGACGAATCCACAAAGAAACGACAAAAAAAAGTGTTAAAAACTAACAGAGACATTCAGGGTTGTGTCTCAGCGCCCTCAAGGTGCTGCAGCTAAATGTTGAAACAAATTGTCAGGAGTCCCATCTCCACACCCACATCTTCTGGCCCTCCCACACACACACACACAAACACACACACACATACCAACACACTCTAACAAACCAAAACACACACCTTACATGTGCACAGATTGTGGGCTGTCACCCCCCC